AATGTAAAAATCATGTTTAGCTGACACAGGCTGTCATTGCCGATCCTTGCTTCAAGGTGTGAAACATCCTCATTTCTAATGGTTCTCTAAACCTTTCAATTGCAATATGCTAAAAGCTTCCTGTTAATGTCAGCAAGAGTAGATTCTGTTGTCTGTGATCAAATTCTGTCAGGCCTATGAAGAGGATTCTTCTACTCATTCTACAGAGGAAAAATGTGAGAATAAGAATTAATATCTGTCCAACACCAAAGCTTACTTTTACACATGGCATTATACTTTCCTCATGATTATTAAGATGTTCCCCAGCTTGATTAATAAATTTTCACTGAACCATTCATGTAAATTATAAATACAGTAAAACCTGTGAAAGCCAGAACCTGTGTAAGGCAGAAATCTGTCAGAGAAGGAAAACTCAAATATTTTCCACTAAAAAGAGAGAAAGAAAAGTGGTAAGATTGCATCCTGTCAAAGGTAGAAAACTTGTGAGACATGGAAAAAGAAGGCAGTCTAATTGAGTTCCACTTCTCACAGGTTTCATTGTATTTATTAAATGAACATTATGTACTATATATATGTATATATATATATATATATATATAGTCGTGGCACCAGCCACACACATTAAGCTAATTTTTGAAAAGTCTCACCTTTATTATCAATTTAATTTGAGATACAAAATGAAGTGGAAAATTGACAATTATTTGCTTACTTCAGTTAGTATAGATGGAAAACTAGGTAATTGAGCCAGTTAACCTCACATTGGCAGAGGTACAAATATTGTATGTGTTGTTTCTCTAATTCAATATTTTACTAGCTTCAGATAAAATAAGGAGGTACTAAAATAATAGAATCAAGAAGTTACAGCCTGGATTTTAACTAATCTAGTAACTAAGTAGTAGTGTCTTTGTTAGGCTAATATTTCAGTACATTTATTTGGTTGCATGATTGTTCACTCTATAAATCTTCTTTTACTCATAATTTTTTGTCAGTGACACTCCAAAACACTGTGGCTTTGCTGATATATTACAAGTGGTTTACTTATTATTCTTTTCAAAATACTTCAATAAAGTCCCATTTTTAAAGTTGATTTATCTTTCATTAGCTCTGTTACTCTCCTTTTCTGGAACTGCAATTAAAACCTGAGTTGGGTATTTGCAATGGCCTCATTTAAAACCTCAAATAAAACTTATTTCCATGTAACACTTCCTCAGCCTTTAATTGTGTAACTGGTCTACAGTGGATCATCTTCTTTGAGACTCTGAACTGTCATTATGTTTATCTATGTAACACTGCACAGTGCTTAAGATAGTGTTTTCCATATAGCAAAACTTCTAATAAATATATAGAAATAAAATATCTCTTAGAGGGGTCCAATATGCCCAGGGTTGTTCTCTCATTTTGATTTTTGATTTCAGTCTATGCAGCAAATTACAAAGCATTTATTGTGGACTGTTATATCCACAGCAACAACTAAGACTTTGGGAACATCTCTCCTCTCCAAGAAAGTTACAAGCACTTTTGAGCTGAGGACTGAGAGCTTGAACATAATTCCATTAATTTTTGGTGTGTTTTCATAGTATTTCTACAATACAATTCCATACAAAGTAACCTTTTCCTGTCAATATCTAGGCCAGTCCAATTTTCTTCCCCTTGAATTAGAAAAAAGAAAAAGAAAAGAAGAGGTGAGAGTGGGAATACTAAGAGAAAAAAAAAAAAAAATCCATTATTCAAAGGCTTAGAGGGAATATCATGAAAACTCTAAACTTTTAAATATGGAGCCTGAGGAAATAGACACTTAAATTCTTCTAATTTCATTATTAAGATTGAATGTATTTTATCAAAGCAATAGAATAATTTCCATTAGGAATATAGTAAAAGTCAATAATATTTGGAAATGGATTGATGTAATTCATGAATTAAAAGGTAGAATACATGAGTGAACAAATTCACTTTTCTATATTGGTACCAATTGCCATCAAATAGACGCCTATTCATAATGACTGCATGTGTTACAATAGAACTGTGCTGCACAGAATTTTTAATGGCTGATTTTTCAGAAATGGATTTCCAGGCCTTTCTTCTGTGGCATCCCTGCGTGGACTGGCACCTCTAAACTTTTAGTTAGCAACTGAGTTATATTAACCATTTGTACCACCCAGGGACTAGATATATGTGTGTTATGTATCTATATCTATATCTATATCTATCTATATATATTTGTTGTTGTTGTTGTTAAGTGCTGTCAAGTAGGACCCAACCCATAGCGACCCCTCCTTGGGTTTCCAAGGCAGTATCACTGCAGAAGCAGATTGTCCAACTGTCCTTCCAAAGAGTGGCTGGTGGGTTTGAACTGCCAACGTTCTGGTTAGCAGTCAAGTACCTTAGGCACTACACTACTAGAGCTCCTATATACATATATATATGTGTGTGTGTGTGTGTGTGTGTGTGTGTGAGTGTATGTATGTGTATATATCTATGTGTTTATGTGCGTGTAGATTGGGCAATCTACTTCTGTAGTGATACCACCTCAGAAATCCAAGAAGGGGTCACTATGAGTCGGATCTGACTCGATAGCAGTGTTTTCTTTTTTTGGTATATACATATACTACTGGGAGCTCTGGTAGCATAGTGGCTAAGGCACTTGACTACTAACCAGAAGGCTGGAGGTTCAAACCCACCAGCCGCTCCTCGGAAGGAAGATGGGGCAATCTACTTCCGTAGTGATACTGCCTCGGAAACCCAAGGAGGGGTCGCTATGAGTCGGGTCCGACTCGTCGGCACATAACAACAACAACAACAGGCTGAAAGAACTGAAGAAAAACAACAACAACATATAATACTGAGAGAGAGGTGTGTAGCAATGTAAATAATGTTTATATTATTCTCAGCCACTTTTCCAATATAAGTGAAGTCTGAAAAAAAATTCCTAGAGAATAGCTGGTCATGAACTTGTTTATTTTTCATGCATACTTATTAAACTCATATATTTAAGAACATTTCTTCAGGCTCTCCAGCTTATCCATTTTTTCTTTTTAATCACAGGGTAAAAACCTCTCACAAACATTTGCAATGTCAATTGACAGCCTCCATGAAATGGTCTATGTCTCTCACATTAATATGTAAAATGTATTATTGCCTCCTCTTATGCATATCTGTCAACACCAACACCACATGGATCTTGAAAAAGGTATGAGATTGAGAAGAGTTTTCACTGCATTAACAATATTTTTATATTATTTTTATTTTACTAAGAGTCGGATCCAACTCGATGGCAGTGAGTTTGGGTTTTTTTGTTAAGACTTAATACTGACTTTGTTCACTGATAAACATCATATTGTTTTCTAAATATCTGGGAAATAGGAACTTTCTGTAAGCTATGGAAATGGGCAGTTGTAATGTCTCCAAAGAATTAAGCACCTCAAAGTAGATGTAAAACTTGGAACTAATTTGCTATATGTCTTTATTCAGTGTAAAAGTATTTGGATTGGATTCTTGACTCATCGTCTTTCTAGATGTCTAAATTATTTAAACTCCCTCAACATTTCTAAATCTCTCTAGAGTTGTTGTGAAGATAAACATAGATAATTC